TATAAAAATGTATCAAATTAACATGTTGTATACCAAAAACTTACATGATGTTTTACATCAAATTTTATCTAAATTAAGTTGAAAAAAGTGCCTCAGAAATTTTTCTCTGGCAAAAATTATCTTTCAAATGAAAGCAAAATGAAAATTTCTCAGACTAAGAAAACTAAAACAAAGTTAAGCAAATCTCTGGAAAGAGACTATCCAGACTAGATAAAAAGACCAAATCACATATTTACAAGACACCTCTTAAATATAAGAGGACAGATAGGTTGCACTAAATGGATAAAAAACATATACCATGCAAATTATCTATATTAAAGGTGATATGAGTACATTTATATCAAAGTAGAAATCAAAACAGTAAGTACTATAAGGGAGCTCCAGTAAGACTATCAGCTGATTTCTCAAAAGATACTCTGCAGGCTAGAAGGGACTGGCAGGAAATATTCATAGTGATGAAAAGCAAGGACCTACAAACAACATTACCCTACTCAGCAAAGCTATCATTTAGAATCAAAGGGCAGATAAAGAGCTTACCAGAAAAACTAAAGGAGTTCATCATCGCCAAACCATTATTATATGAAATGTTAAAGAGACTCATTTAAGAAAAAAAAAATTCAAAACTATGAACAGTAAAATGGCAATAAACATCTATCTATCAACAACTGAATCAAAAAAAAAAAACAAATAAGCAGAACAGAAACAGAATCATAGACACAGAGAAGGTTCTGATGGTTGCTAGACTGGAGAGGAGTCGAAGGGATGGGCAGAAAAGGTAAAGGGATTAAGAAGCACAAATTGGTAGTTACAAAATCATCATAGGAACGTAAAGTACAGCATAGGGAATATAGTAGCCAATAAACATACATGTTTGGCCCATCGACATGGACAATGGTGTGGAAACTGCATGAGGGGAGCAAAGGTAGAAAAAGTGGGATAACTGTAATAGCATAAGCAATAAAATATAATTTAAAAACTTTATAATAATTGGTAAATTTATTGTAGCATACAAGAACTTATATTTTTAATAAAAATTTTAAATCTTCACCTGAGGATATGTTTACTGACTTTAGAGAGAGAGGAAGGGATTCAACAAGTTCTGGGGATCTAATGTACAGAATGGTAATTACAGCTAATAATTCTGTATCATATAGTTTAATGTTAAATCATGACAACTGCTATAAGGGAGCGGGAGGAAGGGAGGGGGAGAGAGACAGACAGGCTGAGACAGACAGACATTGATGTAAAAGAAATACATCAGTCAGACCCTGGCTGGTGTGGCTCAGCAGACTGACCACAAACCTGCGAAGCAAAGAGTAGTTGGTTGGATTCCCAGTAAGGACACATACCTGGGTTGTAGGCCAACCCTGGTAGGGGGCGTGCAAGGGGCAACCACACACTGATGTTTCTCTCCCCCTATCATCCTCCTTTCCCCTCTGTCAAGAAAGAAAGGAAAGAAAGGAAGGAAGGAGGCAGTGAGGGAAGTGAAGGAAGGAAGGCAGCAGGCATCTGTTGGTTGTTTCCCACATGCACCCTGGCCAAGGATTGAACCTGCAACTTACATATGTGCCCTGACTGGCAATCAAACCTGCAACCTTTTAGCATATGGGATGACACTTCAACCAACTGAGCAACCCTGCCAGGGCAACAACTTGTGTTTTTATATACCAAATAAAAAAATGCCTCAAAATACATGAAGGAAAAATTGAACTCAAAGAAATATGCAAATTCATAATCAGTTGAGTTTTATAGCATCTCTCTTGGTAACTGATAGAAGAAGCAAACATACAAACATAAAAAATAGTATATAAAAGATGTGAACAGTATTGCTAAAAGTGACCTAAGCAACATGTATAAAACATAACACCAAAAACAGAATACACATTCTTTTTAAGTACACACCAAACATTCACTAAAAGAACTGTATCAGGTTTTAAGGATTAAAAACACAGATCATATTCTCCGTAAAGGATTTAAATTAGACATTGGTAACAAAAATATATCTAAAATATCCCCAAGTTTTTGGTAAATAGAAAGTACCTTGAGCTAAATGGTAATAAAAATACAACATACCAAAATTTATAAAATGTAGCTAAAACAGTACTTGGAGGTAAATTTATAGCTTTAAAATTCTTATAAAAGAAAGGTATAAATCAAAGATTTAATTAAGTTTCCAAGAAAATCACATTACATTTTCAATGTGGGTTGTCCTCATTTATGGAGTAAGGCAAAATCAGCAGTATAATTCCAAGATTACCAGAAGGAACATTTCTGATTAACATATCCGTAATCCCTCAAAGAGATGCTTTAGAACATGTGAATCATAAGTTATAGCCAACAATAAATTCTGGATCTTAAGCTGGCAGAGGTTCTATGACCTTCTGTAAGTGGCTTCCAAGGTTGACCCCAAGAAATCAATTTCACACTGACAAGAGAGGAAAACATTAAAAAGCATACCAGATTTTTAATAATTCAGGTTTGGAAGTGGTACATATCGCTTGGCTAATGTTTCATTGGAAAGACCTTGTTTAACTAGCCACATCCAGCTGCAAGGGGAAGTGTAGACATGCAGTCTCTGTTTGCCAGTACCCTCCTGAAACTTCCTCCAAAATGAAAAAGGAGAAATAAATCTTTGTGTAAGTGGTCAGTTATCTCTGTCAAACTCTTCCCCTCTGGTTACACAGGAGAAAAAAACCCCTCAACCTGCATGGGTATTTTAGTACTGCTTACTGAGGCAAAACAAAAACAAAACCCCCAAAACTAAGCAATTTAAACATCTATATAGAAATCTTCCACTAAATTTTGGTATATAATACAGTAAAATGAAATGTAGCAATTAATATAAATGAGCTATACCTATATGTTAGCACTAATGATGGTTAGCACTAATGACATAAAGTGAAAAGAGAAATATGTATGATTCTACTTTTAAAATAAATGATACTACACAAATACATATAGTAGGATGGAAAAACGCAAAGAAATATTCAAATTGTGACACTGATAGGCTTGCCCTCAATTCATTCAAAAAATTTAAATTGAAGACTTTACTAATTCAAAGAAAACCTGGGAACTTAGCCATAGATCCTCAATGAGAAAAACATAAGCAGCATCTTCAGTCACAGATTACAGACAAATGACAACTGCTATATCAATGATTTTTATAATATTTTAATAGCATAATAAGGAATTTGGGCAATTAGAAAAATAACATTTAAAAACCAAGAGGGAAAAACTAAAGAGAAAACAAAAAAAGAAAATTCAAATAAGTGGAAACTCAATGTCATAGTTAAAAATTAGTTTTAAATATTCCCCTAAGTTTCTTATAATTATAATCAATTCAATCTGGCTATCCACACAGTACATTGAGTACATACTGTTGAAATTCTATTAGACAAATACACTTCTTTCGGCAGACCATTTGATAAAACCTTCATTAGGTAGACAAGGGCATAGGGAATTAGTATTCTATATTGTTGCTTTAGAGAAGATTCATTAGCTTTGGAGAAAGACAAACAGATGGTAAAGGTAACACACTACTTCGTAAACTAAAGGCCTTACTTAACTAGGAATCTTGAATAAAGGGCCCTCCCTCTTTCAAACTAAAAATCAATATAAAAAATTAATATTCAAATTATTTTCTTCAACATTGCTTTTGGTAGTATCATATGCATGTTTTCTGTGAATGTAAACATAAATACTACACAGTGCTTTTATTAGTCCACGAGACTGTCGTTATTTTATTTACCCTGTTGTAAGCTAAATGTTCTTGATTCTCAGAGCTCTCCAAAGCCTTTTCCCCTTGATTAAAAAAAGAAAAATGAGTCTTCAAGGCCTTGTAAAGAAAAACTGATCCTACACATACAACACCATATTTTTTTTTATTTGATGACTTTAATTGTACCATTAAACCATCTGACTTAAATTTGACCATTCCAGTCAGTGCGCTGTTCTAATTTTTCATTGTATAGGCCAGAATGCCAGTCAGTCTGCATGTCTTGTTTACTGGTCTTTATAATTTCCGTGCAATAACTAAAGGCAAAGGACTAGGTGCACTACCGTGTAAAGAGATTACACGACTGTCCCCTATTGCACTTAAATTAGTATGTGGGGATTTACAATCATTTGTATTGTTTCACAAAATAAATATCTCCATGTCAAATACTAGTTAAAACATCCAAGTATTTCTACTGAATCCTGTTTAGATAAATAGGGACAGAATAGACAGTGGGTACAGGGCAGGTGGGCCCTCAGCTGCCAACAGCAGCTTCAATTTTTTGGGTGATCACTGGGCCAGCACTCTCAAGGATCCCAGGTACTCTCTCACTACACCTGACATGAGCTGGATGCTATTCTCAATCCACATTTAATCTGAGGGGGACAATCTTAAACTGTATTTCCCAGTGGTCATGTTCCTTGGGGCCCCCTCCAGTTTCCAAAGCAGTTTACACAGCATTTGTGCTTTCTTGTACTCATGAGGCACATTAAACCTAAGCCCAGGTGAGAGATTGTCTGTCACCTAGAATGTGATTACAATGGAGTGATTGCGCAGTTATTTAGGTGCTATATTGTGTCCAGTAATGTATAAAATCTAACCTTCACAATTACCCTGTTGTCAACTGGGATTCATTTATTTCCCAACACTTTAGTCCCTCGCTCGACACAGTATTCAAATAAGCAGTTGGTCCTAGCTGGTAGTTTTTGTAAAAAGGTCAAAGCTACACCTTAGCCAGATTAAGTTCCTGTCAAACTCACCACCATGCCCTTGAAGTGCTTAAGGCCACAGCCTGTTTATTTTCCACCGCCATCCATTCCATGGTTAACTGAAGCTGCTTGTCTCGCTGATGAAGGAGAGACAAGAGCCAGGACTGACCAGGCAGGAACGAGTAGGTAGCACAGCCTACAGGATCCCCCACGTCTCTCTTCAGCATTTCAGCCTTAGCTTAAAGACTCGGTCATCACAACCCCTGGAAAACCTGCTCCCAGCAGCGGGGTTGCTGCAGTGTCGCTCAAGGTTAAAAAGGCCGCCAGGCAAGTGGGTGAACAGTTGGCCCCCGTTATGCGTGAGCACGTGCTCTGGTGCTGCAGCCTGACCCACAGTGCCATATTTTTTAATCCTATTCCTAGCCCTACTGTATTAACTGCAGTTTCTGGACAACATGATCATATCGCTGTCCATTTACACAACTATATTATTGCCTCAACTTAGAAAAATTTGTTTTAAAATTCAGCTAAATGGTGTGACCCTTCATGTAACAGGACAGATTTATTCCATAATTAGGAATGGAATGAATGATTACAATATAATTTCAATGACATATTTCAGAAAAATAAATGGTCCATGCACAGCAAAGCCCTCTGCTCTTGAAACAGAAAGCCATTATCAAGCATACTTTTCAATTTAACCTGGTAACTTAACTAGGTTTAAAGCTGAGTAATGTAATAGTAATGTCTAAATAAAACAACAGAAAAATGGTACAAAATAAAACAGTATTTTAAGTATCAACCTTCTTAATGTGAAGTTTTTATATTTCTGTTCAGACTGTAAGATGGCTTCACATTTGTGCTATTTATTTAACAGAAGCTCTTATCAGAGGAATTTCAGCAAATGACAGCCTGAATAAGCATTCTTCATGCACTCTCCATCACACTCTCATTCAGGATAAAACTGCTAGGACAAGCAAGGTAGCAATGCCTGCAGGGTGCAGACAAGGGGATGGGTTTTGCAGAGGTTCCTACAAAAAAGAGCACAAAGTTTCTTCTGAGCTAGGCACAAGATGAGTAGATACTCACCCTTTTTGCGGGGGGGGGCGGCGCTTAGAAAAAACAAGTACTTCTTGTTTCTTCTTTAGGATAAAGGCTCCTGAAGTGTGTGTTCCTAGGAGGGTCTGCTGAAAATTACTGGCCTCAGAGGAAGTACAGGAGACAACTAGGATAGGTTGAGTTGCCTCCTATTCCTAAGGCTGGGAAAACGCTATCCAATCAATAGGACTGCTGGTTAGTGTGATACTCAGAGGAATGAAGACCATGGCAATGCCCATTATATATGAATTTGTGCCAAAGAAGGGATCCTAATAATTTGACTTGACCAAATTGGAGAACCTTAAAAAGTCAAAGCAAAATAATCTGCCTCCAAGACTCAGCACACAAGAGGGGCAAAAAAAGTACCGTAAATTGGCTATACAAGAAAAAAATGGGAAATTTAAAGCATGGAAAGGACTTCCGGGTAGTTAAAAAAAAAAAAAAAAAAAAAATTCAGAGGCTTCTGACCAAGATGGAAGCATAGGTAGATATGTTTAACTTCCACACACAACCAAGAGAAGGATAACCAATTTGAAAACAAACAAACAAAAAAAACGAGAATTGCAAGAAAGTCGAACTGTACGGAAGTCCAACAAACAACGAGTTAAAAGAAGAAACATTCATACAGATTGGTAGGAGAAGCAGAGATGGGCAAGTTAGGATGGAGCGGACACACGGCAAGGCAGTGGCTGGCTGGCTGACTAGGCAGTCCCATATTTGCGTGCAGATAAACTGGTATGACAAACTGGGGAACGAGACAGACTGCAACCCAGGATTCCAGTGAAGGATATAAAGCCTCAAACCTCTGGCTGTAAAAATCTGTGGGGGCTGCAGTGGTGGGAGAAACTCCCAGTCTCACAGGGAGAGGCCGTTGGAGGGGCTGATGGGGTCCTAGAACATACACAAACCCACCCACCCTGGAATCAGCACTGAAAGGGGCCAATTCACTTACGGGTATGGGGGATAGTGACTGAAAGCTGGGCAAGGGCTCAGCAAGCAGCATTGTTCCTTCTCTGACCCCTCCCTGACAGACAGCACCACAATGCAGTGACCTGGGTTGCCCTGCCCTGGCAATACCTAAGGCTCCGCCCCTTACAACGTAACAGGTGCACTGAGACAAAGAAATATGGCCCAAATAAAAGAACAGATCAAAACTCCTGAAAAAGAACTAAGCAACAAGGAGATAACCAACCTATCAGATGCAGAGTTCAAAACACTGGTACAGGGATGCTCATAGAAATGATTGAGTATGGATACAAAATAAACGAAGTGAAGGCTATACAAAGTGAAATAAAGGAAAATATACAGGGAGCCAGAAGTGAAGGGAAGTAAACTGGGACTCAAGTCAACAATTTGGAACAGAAGGAAGAAATAAACATTTAGCCAGAACAGAACGAAGAAATAAGAATTCAAAACAAAAAAAAAAAAAAAAAGAGAAGAGGCTTAGGAACCTCTGAGACAACTTTAAACGTTCCAACATCTGAATCATAGGGGTGCCAGAAGGAGACGAGGAAGAGCAAGAAATTGAAAACTTATATGAAAAAATAATGAAAGAAAATTTTCCCAATCTGGCAAAGGAAATAGACTTTCAGGAAGTCCAAGAAACTCAGAGTCCCAAAGAAACTGAACCCAAGGAGGAACACACCAAGACACATCATAATTATAAGATTAAAGATGAGAGAGTACCTAAAAAGGAGTCCCATAAAATGATTAACTGATTTCTCAAAAGAAAACTTACAGGCAAGAAGGGGCTGGAAAGAAGTATTCAAAGTGATGAAAAGCAAGGACCTACATCCAAGTTTACTTCCCAGATAAGGTAAAGTTAAAGAAATTCATCATCACCAAGGCCTTATTATATGAAATGTTAAAGGAACTTATCTAAGAAAAAGAAGAACATCAAAACTATGAACAGTAAAATGACAATAAACTCAAAACTATCAACAACTGAACCTAAAAAAACAAACAAACAAAAAAAACAAAACAACTAGGAATGGAACAGAACCACCGAAATGGAAATCGCATGGAAGGTTATCAGACGGGAGGGATAGGGGAGAGAATAGGGGCGAAGGTGCAGGGAATAAGAAGCATAATTGGTAGGTACAAAATAAACAGGGGGAATTTAAGAACAGTACAGGAAAAGAAGAAACCAAAGAACTGACATGTGCAACCTGTGGACATGGAACTAAGGAGTGGGAGAACACTGGAGGGTGGAAGGGTGGAAGGGTACAAGACACATGGGAATAAAGGGGGAAATATGGGACAACTGTAATAGCATAATCAATAAAATATACTTTAAATAAACTTTTAAATTTAAATAGTCACTGGATAAATGAAAGAATAACCACTATGAAGAAATGAGTTTAATGCCCTGTAAATGGAGTGGGGAATAAAAAACCCTCAACACAAAACTGGAGAAATGGAATTCATGGAGAGGCATAAAAGACTTGATAGCTATATCTAAGAGATCTAACATGTGGTGTTTGAGAAGACAACAAACTGAGCATTTTAAAAAGAAAATCTACCTGATCAATGAAAGACTTAAATCTGAACATAAAACTGTTTATCTAGTTGCTGCCAGGATAAACTGTAGAATGACACATGTAAGCATATCCAGGTAAAATTCATGAATTCTAAGGAATAACAGAAAATCTTATAAATACCAGGCCCAATAATTAAAGTCAGATGACATATACAAACCTTAACTGCACAGAGCTTCCAATCTGCATTCAATGCTTCTCTTGTAAGATAAGCAAATAGCTACCAACACCAGACATCTGAGGAAAGCCTTTACATCAATTATGAATTTATTGTGTCTCTGCTCCAAAGTTAACCTTCAGTATCTCTTCTGTCACCACGGCCTTGACTTTGTAAGAATTTCTCCTTCGTAGTAAGCACTATTAAGCTTTATTAGCGTTGAGCTCTGGAAGGACACTGCAGGAGAAAAGGGGTTTCTCTTCCTGGTTTTGGTATGTTAAAGTTTATCTCTTCCTGGTCTTGCTGCATAATCCATCTGCAGCAAGTATATAGCGCAAGTCCTTGAATAATGTCATTTTGTTAAAATGGTGATGAGATGCTATAGGAACTTAACACTTGTTTATATCAATCAGACTATGGCAAAACTGGTTTCATCATGCATCGTTTCATTTATAATCATGGAACCTACCGGTGACTGTTAAGTGAGGACTTAGTGTATAAGCAGATCCAGCAGTGGTCCGACCCAGCCTCACACCAAGAGAGTGCAGTCCTTGGGCAACCTAGCGCCCCAGCCTGGTATTGGTGATTACCCTCCTGATACAGCTCTCCCGACATGGACACTGGCACACTCTAGCTCTCATGGTGGCAGAAGTGCCTCATCTTCCAGTGTACAACTGTCTACCACACTCAGTGTGACTGTGCCTCAGAGTGCTGTTTCCTGCAGCCCGGTAACTGTGAACCAGCTCTGGCTGAGGCAATCCAGTGAACTTCTTTGTTCAGCAGGCTGCAACATCACCTTATCCAACAAGGCCTGAATCACAGCCTGGGGAACTGGAACCTCCCTTCCAAATCTGCCTTCCCTCAAAAAATCTTCAGCCTTAGAGTCTCCATTAGAACCATCATTATATTCTTATAGTTATTCCTCTATTCTAGTTCCGTAATTGTTTATAATAAATTTTACCAATTCAAATTACTGTGTGGTTTCTGACTCCTGATGGAATCCAGACTGGTACAGAACTGGTCCCAGCAGTGATAAGATAAACCTGTTAAAATTATTTTTAGAGACTGATTCGGTCATGCCCTTGGGATCAGGCATGGGATTTAGTCCCTTGCCAGGGAAATGGGGTGCTAGTAATCTATGACATGAAATAGTTTCAGAAAACCAACCATGCTATATCACCTGTGGTTCACTGTGGTGAAGTGTTAACTCAAGCACATGCCTTGGGAACTTAAATGGCTACTGTATTTGCCATAGTGGCAGTAATAATGGCTATAAGGACAGTAATGTGAGATAGGTCCTTCTGTCTTCACTCAGCACTTAAAGAAAAAATGACAAGCTCAAGTCAGCTTAAGTCACAGGGTAAGAATCAAAGTGCTTCCATGATTCCCCAAAAGAATCTTTTCTTCCTTGTAGTATCAACCTTGAGGGTTGATACTGCTGAAAATAAGGACAAAAACTTAATTATGTAGGTTGCTAGATCACAACAGGTGAATTCAGTCTCATCAAGTTTCTCACTTGAAAATTAGAACCTTGATTAGGAAAGAATGGGATCCTTAAATGTGGAATAGAGACACCTGGTTGGTCCTAGATGAAACCAACAATTTGAAATCCTTCCTTACTCTCCATAACCCCTGCCAGTAACTGGAAACCTCGCATACCAAATG